CAATCAGAACATGTATCGTCTCTGAACTAAATCAGTATTCAGTTTGCACATTGTAACTGGTGACGTCATCAAACCATGGACATAAAACATACTGAAATTTATTTAAAAAAAAACAACTGAAATTTATTCGCGACAACTACATGTACATGTAACCTTTAAAAGTGTTAGCTTAGGGAATAATATTACTATAAATTTTTGAGAAATATCATGCATGTTTTTGGGTCTTTTAACACACTTTAAAAAGTGAGCCAGTGAGCTCATTTCTTAAACTATTTGGTACCATGCTTATCTTCACTTTGAGCAAGCTTTTCCGCACTCAATCGATTGGTATGTTTCCGGGTAATTACCAGTGTTCTTACATGTACATTGTACATATATTGTACTTCGCTTTTAAGATACAGGTGGTTGAAATAAGACTCATTTGTCAAAGTGTTTTTTTTTACCAGCAGTGGAAAATGCAGTTTTCATTTTTGTTTCGCTTACATTTTTGCCATTGAATTAGGCCAAAAAAAAGAATAGTTCTGCTTCCGGTTACCCGACCGACCCTATTTTTAGGCTGCGACCCTAAACATTTTATCAGCAATTCAAAAAAAAAAAAAAAAAAAAAATAAAAATTGAATAAATAAAAATAAAATCTGTCTTTTCTGTCTTCACAAAATACCTCTCAACAACCCTTTTGCATCCAAAAATGCTTGTATTTATTTGTTTTCTTACTTACATTCGCTTTTTTTCAAAAGAAACCTCCGTTATTACAAATTCGCTTTGCGATATAACTACTTCGCAATTCAATGTCACGCACGGTGACTATAATCACGTGGCGACGACTGGTTCCCGCCGCGCCGCGCAGGGGCCAATTTAGAAGACATAATGAAAATGCGGTAACCAGTCCATAGCTAGCTATGCGACCGATAGCGCGCTAGTATCAGTACAGTGCAGGCCACTGTCAACTGGTCGGATTCGACATCGTAAAAATGCCAAGAAAACACCGATGGAGAGAGAACATTTTTGCAAGTTAATTTATACAGAATTGATCTAGCTTGTCTGTGTATGTATTTTCTGTGTTCAAGAGTTCATTTTGAGATCGCACTACTCGTATTTGGAGTGATACATGCCGCGTGTTTCCCGAAATTGTTGACCGTCAAAACAGGTCTATCGGCCCATGGTGGGCCGCTCGCCACACACGCACGCATCACACACCTCGGAGTTTTGGCCAGCTCCTCGCGTCTTGACTAGCGTTGTGCATATGGTGCGAACGGCCTGAATTTTCCATTATTTTTTGAAATTATCGAACGTAAATATATTGACAATAATTAAAGGTAGGTTTTACTCACTTTTTGTTGCCATTTCGTGTATAGCTTTCGTAGTGCAATAGAAATAGTTCAGGCTAAAACTTCGCATATAATTGAATACCCCATTCAATCTGCATAAAAAAATTGGCAAAAAAAAAAAAAATTTCCGACCGACCGACCGACCCTATTTTTGAAAGGCATGTAATCGGAAGCAGAACTATTTTTTTTTTTGGCCTTACCTGTTTACTGTCATGACAGTGCATGTGAAATCTTTTCCAAAAGGCACTTCATAACATTGTATTCTACAGTATGGTGAAAGGGATTGTTTACATGCAGTTTCCTTACCCTCCCATTTGTGTAAAGTGGAATGTCCCAAGTGCATGTCAGTCATTAAGCAACTGTGATGACGTTAGACAGTGAGTTTATCCTTCATTAGTATACAACCACGCCCCCACACACACTGCAGCCACAGAGCAGCTAATCAGATACGCAGTCCCTGCATATCATAGTCTTACAAGTCATGCATACACACACGTACATGTGTACATGTACGTGTATGTGCATACATGGACATGTACTTGCATGTATTGTACTTGAAAAGGTACGTGCACAGTAATATTGAGTTCACTATGCCTTTGTAAAGTTGTTGGACTGAATTGTTGTAGCTACAACATGGGATGGGCATGCTGAACATAACATGAATTGTGTTTTTTAACTGGCCGAGAGTGTTACATATTTCTTGCAGACAGTATACATTGGGTGGAAATGAAACATTGCATAGCAAGCTTGATCCCCAACACATATTGAGGTCATTGTTACGTCTTAATAATCCAGTTTACTGGAAATGTGTTCAAATTGACAAAATATTTCCAATTACATTAAATAACATACGAATCCAATAAATAAGATCAAATATGATGGTCTGGTAAATTCTAAATGCAAATCTATTCATTTTCTGAATAGCGGGTGTAATAAATGCATGACTTTTACCTTGTGACTTAATGTATTGGAAGTGCAACGACAGGTAGATATAATCTTGAAATTGTAGTCAGCTTATTTGATTTGTCAATCAAATTTTCAATATACTCATTTAAGAGTTTCAAAATTTATATTTGGAAGTCATGCTTTCAAAGAATGCTCTCTATCGACAAGTCTGAAAGATTTGAACATTTTCAAATTGATCAAAATGAGTATGAACAATCTTTGAACAAATCAAATCAGATTGTTGTATAGTTTCAAATTGATTTTTAGTTTCATAATTCAACACGTACCGGTAACAGCCAAGTTATTTTACCCAAAGTATGGTACCAAAACAAATATACTCTGTTATCTTTAGGCAAAAGAAATTGTTACGCCATCAAACTGGTTGTCAAGTATAAATGAATGAATAAATTATAAGTCTATGCAATATTGATTTTGAGTAGTTTTTATTTTTTGAGAGGGGAGGGGCTGCAAGTATAGTGGAATCTGGCGACCAGAATTAGAAGATATAATTATTGAGGTGGTGTCACGCTCACGCGTGTGCTGCACGCGTTCTATAAGACGAGGCACACGCGCATTTTTGTATTCCTATTGATCAAAGGAGCCCAGAGTGGGTGCGTACTCCCCGAGCACGACTCGCGCGAGCCTGGTGCCACTGCAGAAAATGGCTCCCATTGGATTTGTCTACATGAGGGACACAATGCAGCGTTCGACTTAAGCGGTAGCCCGCTAGCCAAATGCTAGTCAAAACAGCGGCGGGCTAGTCAAACTATTCCTTAAGTAGCCCGGCTGGCGAGTCAAAAAACTATTGGGCTACGGCAAAGATGAAAGGACAGGAAGAAATAAGTCATTAGATTCAGAAAGCAAACCTGTATCACTTTTTGTCAATTTTTTTTGAACTGTTTAGAGTTAAATTATTAGATCTGTTTATTAAAAACACTGACAAGATTGCCTCAGGATACACGTTTTACATGTTTGCACATTGTTGTTTATGAGACACTTTACAAAAAGAAAACATGCGAGCTAGTGAAAATGCCCACAGGCTAGTTAAGAGTCTGTTTCGTAGCCCGGCTGGCTAGTGAAAAACAAAGTTAAGGTCAAACCCTGCATAATGTAATGTTCAAAATGAATGATCTTTTCACATACACATGTATCTGAATCAATGTGATCAACCACGAGTCGTGTTTTGTTCAATGAACCCTAACTTTCTGCTTAGTTAGCCCTAACCTCCCCAACTCCATCAAAATCCATCCCCCCATTTTGGTGGATTTTAGGGGACATTCTGCGGGCTTGGTTTGACTAAATACAATATATTGATGGAGAATGATGGACTTGGGCCTGGAGGCTTAAAGCAAAGCATGCATTGGAAGCAGTGTAATTGATGGATTTTGGTGGACTTTGTCCAGTACTTAGTAAAAGACAGTAGGGAGTTAGGGTTAAAGTAAAATTCGTTGGGTGCCCGGCAGAAGGGCATATGAGCATTCTGACGCAAAAATCATTTTCAAGAAAATTGCATTGAAAGGTTCCAATGTTCCCCCGCGCGCATTATGACGAAAACATTTAAATTTGATTAAGATGGAGGCAGTTTTCTGCATATGACCTTTTGCTGGGAACATTTTGGTCATTACGCGCTATTGCATAAGGGCATATGCACATATGCCCTTCTGCCGGGCACACGACGAATTACTAAGTACATGTACCGGTAGAAGACCATGTCCATCAGAATCCATCACTCAGTCTGTATCTTTGGGTTTTTTGGTGTCCCCCCCCACTTTTTTTTGTTATTTTTAGATTTTTACCAAAAAATTTTTGTGGGGAGGGTATGTCAAAAGATGAAATTCAAAAATACAATGTAGATCGCATAGAGAACTGAAATATAGCTTCAGGAAGCCTACGTACACCGTAACCCTCAGCCTGAACTACTCGACGATGCTGCTATTTTTTTTGAATTCAGTGTTGGCATCTCTGGAATTGGTACACATGGCTTTACTGGCAAAATCCACCAAAATCCACCAAAATAGGGGATGGATTTTGATGGAGTTGGTAAGGTTAGGGTTAATGAAGAATATAGTTACAGAAACTTTTACTGATACACGTAGCTGACACACGCATTCACCTTCCCAATGAAACCATACTTGGCATTTGTTATGTCAGCTGTTGGGTAACTTAATCAAGTAGACGTGTATGTATTCGGGGAGAACGATATGTACCGAAGTGGAAATTTGACATTTCTCCTGCCTCTTAACCCTGATAAATGAACACAAACACTCTAAAAGCTGTATATTTATTTTGAGTATAGTTCAATGCAAGGTTGTAATTAATTTTGGTAAATTGATTGAAATTGTTACTCTGTGGCCATCCTTCTTAAAATTTACAAGGTTAGTGTCAAGATGTACAACATTTCAGAAGGCCGTAAGGTGTAAAGAGGAGCAATATTTAGAAACAAATCTGGCTTAATATTCTGAAGCGTATTATTTTGTTTTCCTTGGGAAATGAGCTTCATGTAACAATGATGTGTAATTTAAGCCTGTGCACTGTTTGTATCCGTGTTGTATAATTTTGAATTTTGTGCATCATTTGGTAGTTACATGTATTGCGTCGAACATTTGACAAAACTATCCACTGTGATCCAATTCTTGTGGTATATCTGGGAATTATCTCAAATGAGGGGTTTCGTAGAATGATATAAATGTACGCACTTAACCTTTTGTGTTTTTGTTTTTTTGACAGGCTATTCCAAAGAAGACCACTCTAAATCCTAATGCCAAGGTTTTCCAAAGTCCAAAGCTTGCCAATTCTGTAACCTCATCTGCGGACTCAACTGACAGTAGTCCTGACTGGCATGACAATGAGAACAGGAGCTCTCAGGCATCCTCCCCACAGACAGCAATGACCACACAAGGTTAGAATAAATATTAAAAACAAATATTCAAAAAAAACCTTTTTTTTTTAATGATGTTATGCAAAGATATTCTTATTTTTAAACGTTCCTCATTTATAAATTTATATTAATTAATGAAAAACCCACTGGTTGTTTTAAAACAAACAAGATAAACAAATAAGTTCAGCTTTCCTCTATTTACAAGAACTGGTGATTTGGGAGAACACGTAATGAAAGAACTTAACTTTTTGTACAGAATTTATCAGTTGCAACTTACAAACATACATGTAATTAAGATTACATGTATGTTAAGATTAAGATTAATTGTAATTAAGATTATTTACTTTCTAGCAAATTTACATAACTTTTTAGAGTTTAAAGTGCTCCACATACTCTGGCATGAAAATGAAACATGTTTATATATTGGTACTTTTTATGTTGACATTCTACAACTATATCAAAATAGGAAATGGACATTTTAAATGGAAAATATTTTGGTCTTGTGAATAATTGAGAGCATGTTTTCCTATGGGCGGGCACTTGTGTGTATAGTGGAATCATGTTTGTAATGTTGATTTTCTAAAGCATTTGAAAAATAACTGTTCTTGATTATTGGCAGGTCCTTACCAGATGAATGGAGATGTGGGGAAGTTCTCAGCATTAGGCTACCCACCATCTCCAGAATCACCTGTATACTCCATACAGAATGGATACATCAGTGGTCCAGAATATCCATATTTACCAGATGGACAATTAGTCACATGTAAGTATGGTTGGACTGTTGCAGTAAGGTCATATCAAGTCCCAATGTGACCAACTCTAATAATCTGACAGTCAAGTTGCAAAATCAAGTGTTAGATTTTAATTTCCTTGGATTGATCAATATATATTGTACAAATATTGACTGCTTCAACTGGTGTAGTAAAACTAACCTCCCGAGGTGATCCATGAAGCATTCTATTTTTCCTGAGGCAAAGCCGAGGGAAAATAGAATTATTCATGGATCAGCGATCCATGGAGCAGTCAATATTTGTTTTATAACATCTTTCCAACAGATTGTACTTGATTTTAAGTGATAACTGATTAATTTAATCTGAATACAATTAAAATTTACTTCTGTTTGAATACGAAATTAGCTGACAATGAACTTGATCTTTTCCAAAACTACCCCTTCACAAAATGTTTGAACCCAGCTCTGTAGCGCTAGCGCTTGGGAACAATACGCGCAATGCGCAACGCACAGACCTGTATGCATTTGCACACAATGCGTGTAGTACTTTGGTTGCTACGGGTACAATACTTTTGGCCGTGCACAGCGATATAGCAAAAATAACTAATGCCATGTGACACACTCTCGGCCAATCAAGATACAGAATCTGTGGGTGAGGTGTTATAAATACATGTATATATTAGGGATATGGTAATACGACTCAAAAGTGATTTGTCTTCTCCGAATTTAAACACCTTGCAGTTTTTTCATAGATTTTCATAGACACCTTTACTTTCTCTGGGCTTTATGTCCACGTTTTGTTGATGACAAAGAATGTGTTCTGTGTTTTGCAAGATGATGGACTTTGTAGACTCAGCAATGTTCTGGGAGTTCGAGTTGAGTGTATAATTATGTACACATGTGTGTTAAACTTCCCTTTTTTGGGGGGGGATGTCTGGGTTCAAATGTTCTTGACTCTTCTGTGCTTGACAAACTCACTTTTATGATCAAAATATGTCATTCCTGATGATCTTGTATTAGAACTGTGTTTCTAAAAAGAGTCAGTGGCAACTGGCATGGCAATTGGTCTGTTCTTTTTGGGTTGGATGTTGGGTAAGGTATAAATACTTGTAATCTGATATCGTAGTGCAATAAGTACCTTTTTGACAAACACTGAACATTGGGCTGAAGAAAGTGAATAGTTAATCCATGCTCAAGCCAATTTTATGTCAGAATTATTAAGTTTTTATGAATGCTGCACATAGCCTTCTGTATTGCTCCCCTTGCAGCTGATGATCTGTCACAGCAAGAGCTTCCCAAAGGAGAAGATCTTCGCAAACTATTACAACGCCAGTTGGAGTACTATTTCTCAAGGTTAGTCAGTTTGTTTATGTGATTAACCATAGTCCTTGCCATGGGAGAAAAATCAGAAGTACTTGTCTTGCAAAAAAAATTGACTTCTCACAGGATACTAAAATTATCAAGGTGTACAGAATTTTGTAGTATTTCCTCTCTTAAAAAGTTTACCTTTAAAAATTTTTAACAAAATTTTGGGAAGAGAGACAAAGATGCTGTACAAGTCAAAAGGCAATTAAACTTGCATTGCCGAAGCTTTAATGCAGACAACACTCTAATGCGTAAGTTGCATTGTGATGTCATATAAGGTGCCTTCAGGTTGACCTGCTATTTGTTTGCGCTGTGACGGAACCATTTGCACCAAGCAGAAAAGTAATGCTCAGCTCACAAACTGAGAAATCGTGTGAAACTCCTTGAACAAGGGGCATTTTGACACAAAATAATAGCAAGCATGCTGACGTCACCCACGACGCGACGATGATTCTGCAGGTTAGACATGATCATGAATGAGACTTCTTCAAAGTGGCGGTGTGTGTGTTGATAACAATCAAACGATCTTCCACGGCCATGGATGCGCGCATGACGCCCTAACTTCTCACAGGTTGACTGCCATTGATTCCAGCCTGTCGGGAACACATTCCGGATCCGTTGGGGCACAGATGTCAAAATTGTTCTGCTCTTACCGCTGTTGATTTTGTTTAGCGCTGAAAATGACCATGTCTTAAAATCATCTCAGTTACACTCAGTTCGCAAAAAAAATTGGTAGCTGATATATTCCCGTCAGTCGTAGACAGTCGTAGCTCAGGTGCAGCTTGATCCTGAAAAATCAGTCGTTGACTGATCTGTTTTGTACCAAGGTCGACATGCGGGCGGCCTACATGTAACTTTCCTAAAAATTCTTTTGCAGGTTACTACAACATACTGGCTTGTAATATGATTTTGCTGACAGTGAATTGAAGAAGAGAGAATTATAGACATTGTTTATTTATCTTCAGCAAATGATGAATCTTGACATCATTGACAAATATGCAAAGTGAAGGAAAACCTCTAATATAGGAATTCAATGGACATTTATGTGTATGCATTGCTTTTCACCTACTGTAACTTTCACAGCATATGGATGTCTAAAATATGAAGGTCTGTTTGAAACCAACAGACCATTATTTACGGAAAATGATAAAAATCACTTTTTCAAGAGCAATGGAGTTCAAGTTGGGGGAAAATATAATCATTTTAAAATTCACCCTCCAATAATTTTTGGTCTGAAGACATCGCATTTTCAACTTTAAATACCAAATAAATTATTATGGTTCAAATATGTGTCAGGTCAATTTGGTAAAACATTTACAAATGGTTTTTAAATTTAATGCCCTCTCGGATTGTGATGTCATGTCTGTTTTGTTTTTGGCATGCCTCACTGAAAAGTTACATTAATTCAATTTTTATGTATTAGATTACAAAGTATGAACATGACCGATTATATTGTAATTTTTTTGCACAAAAATTGCATCTAATTTGATACCTGATAACGTCATTATGACGTCAGAGTAGTATGCACATCTCGGTATCAGGATTAATATTTGTTCCAAGTTTCAGGTAAAATCCATTGTAACATAAGGAAGAAAAGCTGCAGACAATATTTGCTGGGAATTATAATAAACAAGATACAAAGAAGAAATTGTATAATTTCCAATAGATGTTCGGGCTTTGCCTGAACACCTAAAAATAAGAGGGGTGTCTTGTCAAAATGAACACAAGCAGACTTGCAAATGTGTGATATTTGAAAAAGGGCAAGGACTAGGGAAATTATAATAAGAACGAACAACTATCTTTTAAAATGAAACTAACTGATAATATCAGTAAATTATTAAATACGTATATTAGTCTACTGATAATAATAAATTATATATTGGCCCCAATTTGTCCATCAAAAATGTACATTAACATTTTGATGGAAAAATAGCCAAAAAAGGAAGTGCACAGCACTGTTACACCTAACTACATGTACCGGTACGTGTACATATGTATGTATGTATGTATGTTGAAAATGGAGTTTGTAAATTATTCTATTTGGACTTAAAATAATGGGGAAAACGTCTTCACTATGTTGGTAATGCAATACACATCCATCCTATGCAACTGATCACCAGTGCTCCAGACCTAAAAACCTAGGTACGTGATCTATTGTGTAAAATGAAGTCCCTGTACCATGAATCCAGCAGAATACTCCTTAAGGATTCATACAACTCATGTGACATGACTCATGGGTAATACTCACACTTGTTCATTTGGCAGAGAGGCCCTCCTATGCAACTACACCAGTGTCCAACAACAGGTGGATATGAATGTCCCGTACCAGAAGAGAACCCTTAAACATGCCTCATGTGTGCCATGTCCTGCATGCTCTATGCACTACGTGTATTTGGTGTACGTGAATTCTTTTTGTAAAATGAGACTAATCCTAGTCTTAAATTTTGATGAAATACGTCACATACATGTAAGCATATATTATAAATCCTAAAAAAAACAACAAGATCACACCAATGAGAGACATACAATGTATGTCATGTATCCATGGTACACCTACATTGTACATGTACAAGGTACATGTAGATCTAATGGTGTCTACACGTGATGAAATAAAATCATTTCATAAACTTTTCATTTGTCTTTTAAAAAGAAAAGAACGTTTTCCTCTTCAGTTTAAGAAAAAATATGCAGGAACAGAATTTGAACTTCAATTAAATTTATAACGTGAAGATTTGGGCAGATTTGCCTGTCAGTTGTCCATATCTTCTCATTATGATAAATGAGTGTAGTTGAGGCACATATACTGCAGATTGTATGGCACTGGTGCCATCTCCATTATAGTGCAGGATGATTACTGCAATCAAGACCAGTTTTATCCTGGTGTAAATCTCTAAGGGTTTACCGTCATGCAAGACTGATAGAACATAAAAAAAGTAGACGATAGTAAGCACAAGGGAACCTCGGTAGCATGTTTTATGCTGAAACCAATTGGATCACATCCATTGACATAATTAATGGCCATCAAATATTCATAATTGTATGGTGCAAACCTGTGTTGAGCATATTATGCATGGTACATGATGGCATTATCATTGCCTTGCTATCAACATATGCTGTGTGTTTCATACATGTAGGTATACAAAGTGAGCAACATATGGAAGGAGGACATGTGCCTTATAAATAGATGTGTAGCTGTTTATGTACAAGGGGGGGGGGTGTGCATGTGTATGCACAAAAAGTATTATATTGAGCATATGGTCATCCTTTTTGTTGTTGATTGATTTACGTGTGTGTGTGTGTGTGTGTAATAACTAACCACAGAACACATATCACAAAATTCGCATGAATTAATATAGGATTGTAAGTGGCAAATGATCAGTTTGGAAGAATAGAAATTGTGTAAAGACTATGTAATTGAATTTTGCCTCCTGTGATATACAGGGAAAACTTGGCCAATGACAGATACCTGCAATCCCAGATGGATGCTGACCAGTATGTTCCCATTTCTACAATAGCAAACTTTAATGCTGTCAAGAAGTTAACAAAGGATATGCCGCTCATTGTTGAGGTCTTAAGGGGTGAGTCTTCATAATAATGATTTTTTTACAATCAGGCATTTTGAGTACTGGGATTCTGTTTATCTTTTCAACATTAAAGCACTTAAGAGAGTTGTGCCAATGAATAACATTTCATATTAAATTCTTGTAAAACAAATCTTTGTTTAAATGTGCGTAGAAATGTCCATTGTTCATTGTTTCCCTACTATTTTCAGCAGTCTTATGCTGTATACATACATATGTGATTTCTAAGAATATTCTTGAAAGGATAATTTTGTTTTGGCAGTGAAAGAAGCTTGCCCTAGTAACTTGATACTAATCCTCCAGATACAGTGACAGAGTTAAAGTGAAAATATATTGTTACCTGTTGAAATTAGAAGAAAGTGCTGGGACACCTGTTCATAATTTGTTAGCTGATAATTGAATACTACCTGTACAATATAATATGCAAGGTGATCAAACTGGATGGATGGATTATTCCAGTCATACTAAAAGAGATATCAAACTCCATGCACCTTCCTCCTCCCCTCCTAAACAGTGAAATGCATTGACGTAGGATGGGGTTATTGCTAATTAGAAAGTTGACTCATAAATGCTAATGCTTCTGCTGAAAAGTCATTTAGTGGCTCTACGTACCGGTACATTTGTACATAGCACAGTTTCTCTTTAGGAGATCACTGCATTGACATTTGAACTCATAAAACATAAACCATCCAAGAGTTCATGGATGTCGTGCCATGATAACAAAATGACCCAAAAGTTGGTAGTTTCTTAAAGTGCAAACCTAATTTACACAATCACAAGTTGTTGCTTGAAGAATCCTTAAATGCATGAAACCCATTCATGTGTTGAGCCTGTTGCATCATTGGACAACTTTGTCCTTACATCAATTACACACCTATATGTATACTGAGTGCAGTAGTTTGCAAAGGCTACCAGCAAGTTGGCATTACATATATAACATGCACATGTACAGTACATGTTTGTCAAATAGCAAGGTTAATTTTGAGTTGCCATTATCTTAGAATACACCTCTCTTTTTGGGGGGGGGGGGACCAAATAATATAAACAATCAATGAATGTCTAATGTCTGACCATAATTTGATCTTCTGCAGTGTCCGTGTTTTATAAAAACTTTGACAGGGACTGAAATATTGAATCTTCTCAACTTAAATACATGTACTAGTGTGATTATTTATCACCATAGAAACAGTTGAGTTTCAGTTACATGCATGTTGTTGTTTCATTTAGTTAGTTTGTATTAATAAAAAAAAATCAAAACATTCAGATGTTATTCTTCAGCATTTGTCTGTTTCAAACAGAATTCTGGGAATCATGACCTAGCCATCATGGTGGTGGTATTCTGCCTTGGATTTACATGTCCCTATTTCATGTTGGATGGACTGAGTTTGTAGTGCATATCACCGACCCATGTGTTAACTGGGAAAGCATACATGTATGCTGAAGATCCCATCCCTCACTCAAACGACCAGGAGTCCAATTTTCCCATAACATATGTATCCTTGGTTAAACCTGCTCTTGTTTCCATCATGGTGTACTAACAACCATTAACCTAGGTTTAATTTACATCAGATCTATTTCCATAATGGAGTTACATGTATATGACTCCTGACCTTGACTTAGACAAGAGTTCTACAACATGTATGTCTTGTGATTTGGATTTCACACTGTGTGACTTTCAGGGCTCGGACTTAGGGATGGTGACTTAGACTTGATGTTGGATGACTTGGAATACAAATCTACATACAGACTGGGTGCTTGGCAGCTGGCTTGAGTGTTAGACCATAGACAAGGGCATTACACTAGTGTCATATGGATGAAAAATGTTCTCTGTGAGATTGATTTTATCTCATGACACTGTCATTTTCGGACATGTGTGGGATATTTTTTTGGTGAATCTACAACTCTTTATTACAAGATCAATCCATAGTACTTATAGACCTTTTTTAATTGGTTAGAGGTTTTTATTGTTGCAGAATCATCTTGTGTTAAAGTGGATGACAAAGGAGAGATGGTGCGACCTAACCACAAGAGATGTACTGTCATCCTACGAGAAGTCTCCCAGGCAACTCCTCTTGAGGTTTGTTCAATGCTGCAGTACCTAATCATAGTTTGAATCCTGTTACATTGTGTCCTGCTTTCCATAAGCCGAATGCTCAAATTTGCATTTTGTTATGTTGAACAATCCTAAAAACAATTAACTAGCAGAAATGGAGGGAGCAAGCGGTAAGATAAAACGTGATTGTAAGAAAGGACATGGCATTAATCTTGCATATTTTTATTACTTAAACACATTTCTTTCATTGGTGAAAGTTCAAAGTAAAAGTAGCTAACTACCAGACACGCACTCAGAGATGCCACCATTTACGATTTAGGCGTAATTTATATGATTTATTCACCCTGATTACGATTGTACAATCCTCATATGATTTTCTACGATTTTCCAAGATTTTACATGAATAAAATAATGTGTGCACGATTTGTAATGTAGTATCTTGACTCCTGTTTTTGCATACTGCATATTAATAAAATGGGAATTGGTATTAGACTATTGGGTGTGCGATTTTTAGCGCATAAAAAAGCGCCGACATGTAGTGTATGCACAAAAACAACACCACTCAAAGTAAAAGAGCCCAATTGGGCGTAATAAATAATAGTCTGGTTTCCCAAGTGTACACATAGGCAATACGTGAAAGTAAGTTGGAAGTACGGACGGTAAAACCAAATTGCCTCTACGTTATGCGCGCCCTTATTTTCAGCGGGTGTCTGATGGAAAAATTACACTTTTTGAATTTGAATGTTGGCATCTCTGCACACTCCACCTCCCAGTTGATCAATAGTATTTTCAAGTATTTTGTTCACTGCCAAATGTTTAGCTGTTTGTTATGAACAATGGGAGAGATACATTGACAGTTGACAACAAATGAAGACAGTGTTAGGAAACAAAACAAAACACTTGGGACTTTGGATACATAAAAATACTTTTTTTATTAAACTTTTGATTCAGAAGTACTCGAAAAGTACTTGAAAAGTACCTGGCAAGTACTTTCCAAATGCTTTTGTCTTAAAAGCCTAGTTCATACAAGAATCTGATTGTCCAAAGTCTTTAATTTCAGATTGGCCAAAGTCTTTAATTGTTTTGGTATTTACTGTCCAATGTCTGTATTATGCAGCTTTATCCACAAGCTGGTACTCGGAGAGTACTCGATTACTTCTGCTATATGTAGTAAAACCCAAGGTTAGCTCCTAGACTCACAAGTACTAGTATGCAACATTAGCCATCAGGGGTTGTTACTAGCTTTTGTTACCTGTTTTTAATCACTTGGTGAGGAAGCTGAATATGAGATGTAATACAAGCAAATGCATGATTTGTTTGTTTGTGATGTAGTGTAAATTACTGGTGTTTCAGTGAAAGACGATTCAGCTACTATTGTACTCCACTTGCTTCATGTAAGAAGGTAGTCAACATCCTCTACCAGTCAACTCAAACTGTGTTGTGTTGGTTTGATGACCTGTTGAAGAATGTGGGAAGAATGAGTTAACTAAGTACTGTGGTTAGATGATTTGATAATGTATTCTGGAATATTTTGGGGGTTTTAACCTTCAACTATTTGTTTTATTCTTAGGATGTGAAAGCACTTTTCACTGGGGAAAACTGTCCTAAATTTGTCAGCTGTGAGTTTGCACATAACAGCAACTGGTACATCACGTTTGAGTCTGACACAGATGCACAGAAGGCTTACAGATATATCCGTGAGGAGGTTGGAATCTTTCAAGGCAAGCCAATCATGGTAGGTAACTGATATGCACTGTGTGAGTAGTAGACAAATATTGAGTGGCTCAGAGTGGAATGGGAAGAATATTATTGCAAGGTAAAATCTGGACTTTTCCTCCATTTCACGAGGCAAAGCTGAGTGAACTGGAAAGTCCTGATTTTACCGAGCGATAATATTCCTCCCATTTTACAATTTAAAGCCACTCAGTGTTTGTTTTATATAACTGACATTTGATATACAGTCGACTCTGGTTAACACAAAGTCCTTTGGACTTAAGACATTATCTCGTATTATCCGACACCTCGTCTTAAGCGACAGGCAATTTTCGCACACTTGCCGACATCATGGATCGTTTATGTCGCTAAGTAATGCATAGGTCACATGCTCTTGTTGAAATTGTAAAGAATTTGCCTTCAAAAAGTTAAATCATGTTCGCCATGAAATTGTGATGTATAAGAAATGTAGTCACGACAGTATGTAACAGTAAAACTTGTATGGTAATTGAGAAGAATAAAGAACCATTCATCACTGTCTTGAACATGCTACCGCGATCGCTTGCATTCAGGCAGGACCGTAGCGAAAGCCGCCGTAAAGATTCCCCTTTGATGGCACGGGACAAACACCCATTGTCGGCCTTCTTCGTTCGGGCGGCACCATAAAGAAACCCCATGATCGAACGGGAATCGCAAAGGCCTATTTGTCTGCTTTGTTCGTTCGGGCAGCACGAGAGCCATCATAAAGAATCCCCCTGATAGCCCGGGAACTGCAAACACCCATCGTCCACTTTATAGTGGACGATGTGAAATAGATAATAATAGATGAAATAGATAATAATAGATTTGCACTTACCAGACTGCAAAAGGTGCTCGTCTTAACCGTCATCTTGTATCATCCAAGCTCGTATTAAGCATTACATATACATGTAGTTCTATTCTTGCAAGCTGTTATTCTGGACAAGAAAGATGAAATATTTATTCAAAGTAATCCAGAAAGTTGCATGATTCTGATTGTCCAATGGTTACGTTGTTCAACTCATGGCGGTGCGTGGGTTTGACCCTGGCGGGGAACATAGTGCTTGTGTTCTGGGCAAGACACTTTACTACAATTGACGTATCGAGGTAGAATCAAGTTAGAATCGCATCAACGCAGCTTGTGAAATATTGTCCAATTGCATGATATACGAATGGACGCAGAACACGCAAATTCCAAGACAAACAAAACTTAGTGTACAAAACTCCATAGGGTTGTCTAAGGGGCGTGGCTAACTTGCAAACGGCGATAGGTCAATTGCTTCTCTCCACCCAGGAGTATAATTGGCTCCCTGTTAGGGTTGGAACCAGATAGTACTGATCTGAAGCTGCTACAAAAAAAGTGGTCTCATGACCCGATGAACAGGGGTAGTATTGTGGAACGCTTTGAGACTTTGGCAGAATTTTGACTAGTCAGAGTGTTTGTTTGAAATATGACCTGACTGTGACTAGCCTGTGTAAAAGGCATGGCAGGGGAAGTGGATTAATATTTTGACTGTCTGTTACTGTTCAAACAGTAGGAGGGCTAATACCTGCAACCCCTCATTTTGACCTTTGCCCAGTTCTGTCTCATTTTGCCATAAATCCTCACATGTGTGACTTTTTCTTCATTGTGTCAGTGAATTTTTATTCAACCTGAATAGCTCCCACTGCTATGTGATATGAGGGGTTAATGATTTTTCATGTTGGGTTTTGCTTGTGTGGATTAAAACCGTAATCATACATATGTATGTTTCTCACAACAGGCAAGAATAAAGGCCAAACCTCTTCAGAGAATAAACTTTTCTCCCAAGCCGGCACCTGTGAATGGATATACCAACACAAGCCAACAGATGTATACACAACAATTTCAGTATCCTCCATCACAGCATGTAAACAGTATCAGTCAACAGCCATCGCAACAACAACAGCAGCAGCAGTCCTCCCAGCAGCAGCAGCAGCAGCAGCAGCAACAACAACAACAACAGCAACAGCAACAGCAACAACAAAGTCAATCACAGCAGCAGCAGCAGCAGCAGCAGCAGTACCCTTTCTACTCTACAGGTGTTGGGCAATCACAGACGTGGGGTGTGACAAGCCCAACTTACTTTGAGCCACCACCAATGGTCAGTTTGATCTGCATTTTAACTGTTTGTTAAATAAATAAAAATATGAAACACAATTTGTTTATTTAAAGACATTACTGTCTGTGAGGGTAATTTAGATCCATTTTTTTGCAACAACAAATTTTATAAAAGTAGAAGACTAAGTTTAAAAACCAAAATTCCAAAGCACAGCTGAAAGTGAGCGTCTGTAGAGTATGCATGTTGGATATGAAAACCTTCTGGACTCATAAATCTCAAATGGTCATGGTAGAGGAGGTATCTTCTAGTCACTTACGTGGCAAGACCAATTTCATGCAAAAACAAGAACTCAACTCAAGGGTACCTCTTATTGAATATAGGTTGAATTCTTTGTACAACTATTTTCCTGATACATAGCATGATATGTTTGGTTTGCAGCAACAGCCTCAGGCCTTTTCTCCTGGTGCCTTTCCTCCTCCACCACCCCCGCCACCTCCACAGAACAAGTTCCAGACTATCAACGTCAATCGCCAACATGCTTATCAGGGACCTCGTTCAAGGTAGGCAAGATTCATCATGTATGGACATACATTCTGGAACAGACACAACCATAGTTCTGCAATAATTCTCCAGCCAATTTCATAAAAGTTTGCGCAATGGCGTAACTCCAGTTTTGCCACATTTTTATTGGGCAAGTTGTGCAACATTCACCTTGAGCAACATTTCAGTTATGATACATTTCATGAAAGATGCATAGTGTATAAGTCCGCAACAAATATAGGGCGTAACTTACGCAATCATTTTAGGTGGCATAGGTTGTGACACCGTGACTGAAAATTGACAATTTTACTGACTAATCGTGATTCTTGTGGAGCTGCCATTGTCCAATTTACAGCCATTTGTAATACCCATGACAAAACCTTTAGAGTTACTGCACAATTCTGAAGAAAGTCGGACAAATTTATTACTAAAATGGTGGGCAGAGGTGATTCAATAACTGTTTTTGATCAAATAAAATCATACGCAAACATACATTGTGTAAGCTGTTATCATCATCACACAAGATGCCAAGTTTTGTGAAATTAATCATAAGTTTATTGCACAGCTGTTCAATAAGTTAGTGGCATAATCCCACACATGTTGTGTAAGGTACAAACTCTGTTTTGTCATGTTTGTGAAATTGGCTGCTGGTATTACAGGGTTGAGAATTTTTTAGCTTTTGCTTCTGTCTTGACAGTAATTCAAAGTTCCACATGCCTGCCATTTGCTTCAAGCAAAAAATCAGTTTATTTCTTTGTAAATCAGAATTGACCATAATTATTACAACCAGCTGTTCAACAATAGTGCAGTGTAATCTCGATAGGTCAATACCGGTTAACTCAAAAACCCAGCTAACTCGAAGTAAGAACTTATTCCCGTAAAAAAAATAGCAAATTATGTATAAACATGCCCACCCTAACTCGAAATTTTCAGACCGGAAACACCAGTCAAGTTGAATTCAAAATTGCCTGGTGCAGAAATAAAACTTCCCTAATTAGGCCACAGAAGAAACTGGAATCCCTTTGTTAAAGGGAAGATACAACATTTGCAAACATCAAAAAACGAAATGCTCAAATTATCACGAAATATCTTACTGGATTGTTAGGGAATGACTGTCCAAAGAATCCTGTAAAATCGTGGCTCCTGGTGTGCTGAAATTTTCAGAAACTGGCTTTTTTTCATAAACTGCTCCGAATTTTTCATATTTTAGTTATTCCGCATTTCCTTTACAATCGATTACACCTGTGAATGGGTACAAGCCTGCTAGACTGATTCTTTGACCTTACAGTTCCTGAAAATTGCAGCAAAAGAAAATGTTGTACATTCCCTTTAATTTAAGAAATCTCCCACGACTGCAATCAGTAAACCCAAACCTAGGTATAGAAAAGCAACGAAGCTCTAGGCTATTTAGCGTCTATAGTATCATTGAAGCAGCCTATTAACCAGTTCACGCCGGGATCATTTTGACAGACATGCAACTTTTCCTCGGATCAGCTGATTTCCTCTTTTTTTTACTTCCCATGTGTGCCATTGAAAATAGAAAAACACTGTACAAAGTCTGGGAAAAATGTGAATTTCCTCCTTTTTTGTGATTTCCCAGTTGCATACCTGTTTTGACAGTGACCGGATGTTTTTTTCACGAATGTCGATCCCAGATGGGTTCAGCAAATCCTGGCTTTGGAGTTAGCCTGATAGCTAACGCTGGCCCAATTGCAGCCAGTCAGTCATGCAACTTTTCCTCTGATCAGCTAATTTTCATGTTTTTCACTTCAATTATGCCATTGAAAAAAAGAGAAACCACTGTATAAAGTGCTGTAAAGCTTGGAATTTCCTCTCTTTATGTTATGCCTGAGGCCATGTGACCGCATTGGAAACGCACCGCAGCTAGCCCAGCTAGCTGCAGCTTGCATGATTGTGCGCCCTCTATCGATGAAAAATCGGAAAACCCTGAGTGTGGCGCTTGCGATGCATTTTCTATCCAATTCCCTTGAGATTTGACTTACGGAGATTTCACTGTAATATCAGGAATAGGTAGAAGCTAAAAAAGAGACAAACCTGGACAAAGACACAAGTAGTATTCCAGAATCTGATGTTGCTGCAATATCAATCATGCAATAAAATGTTTTGTGATTAAAATGCAGAACACATCAGAAGAGCCATTCGCGTACGTCCAGCACGCCTGAGCTGAGGAGCACAGATCGCGTCAGTAATTCAATGTTCCAAGAAAACTCCATCCATCGCTCCCACTCAGAGAGACGAACCACTCCCAATGGGCCACAGGTAGTGAGTCCCAGGGGTGTGTTTGATTCACTACGAGGGGGAGAGGGAGCTATGGACAGACGTGATGATAAGGAAAGAGATCGAGAGAGAGAGATAGCATATGGAAGAAGGAGAGATGTACCACCGGTGACTACCTTGCCTACGTCCTCATCATCTACAGCATCAAGAAGTCGCTACCAGGAGGAAACCTCAAGTAGCAGTTCAAATTCCTTGCAACAGAACTCCAGAGGGTAGGCTTTAAACAAGACAGTGGTAGCAGCACATGCATGTATTAGACTGTATTCATGTTATAGGTGTTATAACACACCGCTTGCTGATGCTTTGTCCTGGCTGGCTAAAACACTGACATGTGGGGTTCACCAATAAAGGCTAGCGAATGAAAATGTTGTTGAGCATGAACTAGATGTGTGTCAAGTATCGTTGGTGCCTATTCTATAGTTAAGTATTCAATCAAACACGATTTGACTGGTTGGAGCACCATGTTGAAATTGTCAAGACTCGACCGCTTTGTGGATTGTGATTTGTTTTAAAACATGTAATTACTGGCATTAATTCTTTGGACTTGGGAAATAGGACCGTCTTGTGGTCACTCTCAAATAAACTTTTGTTGGTTTGAAGTTAAAGGGAAGATACAACATTTGCAAACATCAAATAACGAAATGATCAAATTATCACGAAATACCTTACTGAATTGTTAGGGAATGACAGTCTAAAGCATCCTGTAAAATTGTGGCTCCTGATGTGCTGACATTTTCAAGAAAAACTGTATTTTTCCAACGCTGGTCGGCCGACCAGCGTTGGAAAAAACTGGCTTTTTTTCAAAAACTTCTCCTAGTTTTTCATATCTAGCTATTCCGCATTTTCTTTGCAATTGATTACACACCTGTGAAGGGGTACAAGCCTGCTAGACTGATTCTTTGACCTTACAATTCCCCTAAGTCTACAAATTGCTCTGTTTCATCTTAAGTGGGGTCAGGGAACCAGACTACAAAAACATGATTGGTTTTCTATGTTTTTCCAGCATCTACAAGCGCAACACGTCAAACAAGTCAGTTGAACAATATTTGCTATAACATACCAGTACTTATCCTCAAAATTCATTTATTTATGAAAACTGCAGCAGAAGCAAATGTTGTACATTCCCTTTAACTTGTTTTAGACTACACATAGATTCAAGGCGTACCAGTACTTAACTTCTATGAAATATCTATTACAGGCCCCGTGTAAGTGCCAACTATCGTGATCGACGGCCTAGACGAAGAGAAGATGACATCCAGAATCGCAGGAATTCTCGGGATCTGAGGGACTCTCGAGACAAGGAGCAGCCTGCACCAACACCAAAGGAAGTCCCCAAGCCCCCTTCACCACAGATAGACCTAGCGTCCTTCCCTCCACTTCCTGGACGGACGATAACAGAGAATGAGGCATGTGAGAAGAAGGAAGAAGAGACTAATAACAATGACCTAGTCACACCAATGGCTGACATTGTCAAGGGAGTCAAGGATCCTAAGGTACAGGTAACCATTAATCATTTGATGGCACTATTTGGCCTAGTCAGATTCGTAGCAAATGTCTCCCTGTCAGAGAAACATACCTGGCCTGGGTATGGCCATTCAGCAAATATGGTGCAAGGTATAGTGCAGAGCTGTATGATATGACACTCAAGTAGTAAAGAAAGTGACAAGAAGCAAAAGGAGGTTGGCATAAAAAGAGAAACTACATGTTATTAGCCAAGTAGTTATTGTCAAAAGCTGTTTGGATTGAATACTGTGGATTCCCATGCCTTGTTTAGACTGTTATTGGCATGATAATTTTGTCGGATATTTTTGGAGTATTTAGTATCTCTTGAAACTGATGGCGTAAAGAAACAATTGTTATGCATCAATTATGTGTTACGTAGTCTATTTTGATAAGCCCATCTACATGTTTATTACTGCTGCGATAATTAAGAACGATAATAATGTACAGTTACATTGCTACTCTGGGAATGTTGTAGGAGATGTAATGTACTGATATCATGATGTTTGTATGTCCACAGCGTGCTGCGAAATCTCAGGAACCATCCAAGCCAAACCATCCAGCCACTAAGGACAGTGCTACTAATACAAGTAGTATAGGCGATGGCAAGGAACAATCACCATCCTCTGCAGCTGTTAAAACACCCACCTCGTTACCACGGTAGGTTGAATGTAGTCTTCCAAAGGACATATGCAGCAAATTTCACAAAACTTTATGCCACATTTTAGAAAAACACTTATGCCGCAGTATATTGACCAAAGAGCACAACATTTCAAATTGCACAATGTTTGCACAAGTCCATGACTTATGCTGTGAGTTATGGTGTTACTTTCACAGTCATTTTAAGTGGCACACATATTGAACAATAATGATGTTACTGATTAATCATGATCGTCACAGTCTGTCATAACCTCACTTATTAAGGTTCATACACATTTTCAGCTTTGTTATGGGGAAACAACATACAGTAAACTCCGGCTAAACCGGCACTCTCGGGACCCGAGAATTTGTGACGACTTACGTGAATGCCGATATGCTAAAAGTCGTCATTTTGCCGACTTTCATGAATGGTCTTTTGCACACATGATTCATTGCACTAATTGGCTTCGACTTACCCTGGATTATCTCCTTAATGCTTGAGTTGAATCCAGCAAATTAATCCTCAAATTGTATCATCACGTTTGGGGTATTGATAGTGGAGACCACAATACATATGTACGTGCACGTACATATGTATCGTCAAATCGCTAAAGTCTCGATTGTCTGTAATGCATTTCCATTGAATTTTTTATTTCTAAGGCAGCTTTTATGAGTCACCATTTCGCTCAAGTCGTTGTGTTACTCTCGGTCCCCTTTCCATAAAAAGCATTACAAAATCGTTTGTGTAAGTCGGCATTCAACAAATCACGCATTGGCATCGACTTCCTGTACTGCGGTTGGCAAAGTGTCGAGTGAAAAGTGGTTCGCACGGCCCGTGATCGCTGCATGAATCGGTGTCGAAAAAGGGTGTCCTACTGCATACCACTACGCAGCGCTATAGGATCTTTGCTGCATCGTGAGCATATCAATATCAGTACCCCCTCTAGGCTGTACGCATGCGCTCTGTCCATTTTGGGGGTCGTCTTATTGAAAGACTACTGCTACAGTCAATGCGTGTGTGGTATATACCGGACGCACGCATTTAATTCGTTAATGTGCACATACATATGTATTGTTGTACAATGTCGATTTAGCCGGAGTTTACTGTACACTTTTACCTGTGACTGAAATTTGAAGTAGCCTCCCAATCCCGAAGAAAGTAAAACAAAGTTGCCAAAGTGGAAGGTGGAGCTAAATGTTTTGTGTGTGAATAAATACATAGCTGCCAACTATTACGATTTTTTCGTAATTATTACGAATTGTTTGTTAAATTACGAAAATACGATTTGCCACTAAAACATTACGAATTTCCCATTTCTCCCTAACAAAAAAAAAATACTTGTAAAGTATCGTTTTTGACCGAAAACTTCTGGCGAAATGTTGCGATAATGGATGGACTGGTGACAAGTCTAATAAGCAATGCAGTCAAGCACCTGATAGACATCAATGCAGTGTGCGCAGTGGAGTATTTGAGGACCAGACTAAAAATATTTTTCAATGGTGTGCCATTTGTGTGCATCTCGTGGATGTGTGGTCGGGTGTGTGTACTGTATGTGTGAGTACTTTTCAATGACGATCGTGAGCACATTTGGTCGCTTATTGCCGGGATGAGACCAGTGTTCTAGCCAGGGTGAAATTATAGCGTAGGGGTAATTTTGGTTTGGCCACTAATGCGAGCGCGGAGCGCGAAGCTCTTACGGCGTGGGGTTCGGGGCCCGCTTAAGGGCCCCGAAAAATTTTGGACTCTAGATGCTCTGTGGTGCAATCTGAGGCGATTCCCTACCACTTTCCCCTGATTTTTTTTTAGCAGAAGTGTTTAAAATTATAAGAAATTTTGTTTTATTTGTTTCAATGATTGATACGCTTGCTCCTGTAAAGTTTCTTCTGTTTTCAAATTTTAGATTATGTTTACAATGTACAAATTGTTCCAAGATCGATGCTTTCTGATGTTTAACCATTTTTAGTAGTTCCTCAATGTTTTATAAAAAATTAGGATTTACTTTGTCAATATTAATGGTGAGAACAAATCGCATGAACATTTCATATTTCAAGAAGCCTTGTGTTGTGTAGCGCTGCTGTAGTAGCAGTAATTCCGATTTTAAATTTGTAAATAAAACCATCCGATCGGCAGGGAGAGAAAGTGTAAAACCATGGAGGTCTCAGGCAGAAAAAGTCATCGGCGATTGCAATTTCAATATGCTACAACACAATGTGAAGGAGAAATCTCATTTTTATTATGTTAAAAAATATAATTGTAGATAATGACGATGAGAAATAATCACCGGGAATTGCTTCCTATCCCGGCCAAGGCCGGCCCCGACCGGCGCGGCGTGCGGGCGCGGCGCGGGCCAGCCCACACCGGCTACGCCGGCGAACTACTAGACCAAATTTTCCCTCAGCATTTGAGAAAACAACGCATTCGTGGAGCGCTAAAAAAACTTGCTTTATTGCAATACTCGCTGATTGGTTTTGTCCTAAGAACAAACAGATCCGTTTTTACTACCAAACTTATCGAACTGTCATTATCAGCAACGAGTAGTGTAGTCAAAAATCCAAATTTCGACAGCGTAATTCTTCGAGAAGAATTCTTCACGTGCGGCCATCTTGGTGGACGGATCCATTAATATCGTAGGGGTGCTTAACCTTTCTTTGGACATCGTTTCTCGAATAAATCCTTTACGAAAATTATGTTCCGACGTTGAAGAACTTATTTTTAAACAGTAACATGTTTCAGACTTGATAAAAAGTATTATTTGTAAGTTTTAAACAGTTGAAATGCTTGTAAATATTGACCTTAGGAAAGCACATCCGATACCGCAAAATGGTGTGGTCCACAGAGTGCTCTGTACGTGACATGTTTTGACACGTACGTCCGTACGGAGCGCTGTATCTACGCAGCACAAAACAGCACGTGCTTATATTGCTTTCATAGCGAATGCATTTGTGGCGCAGCATCACGGTAGGGGTATCGTACGGGGTACGTGCGGTGGGATCGTCGTTTATTTTTCGCTGTGTCGTACGGCCAGTGCGCAATGCTCAAAGTCGCTGCGCTTGTATACGAACAAACGGCATATTTTTTTTTCGCAACCAAAATTTATAGCGTAGCGGTAGCGTAGCGGCGCGATTTAAGCGTAGCGCTTATTTCCGAAAGCGTAGCGGGTGCTAGCGCTATTTGATGCCTGGCTAGAACACTGGATGAGACCCATCAGTGCGAGATTTTAATCATGGAATTTAATAAGAGTATGGTTGGAATAATTGGTAATAGAGTTCGAGTTTATCACAACGTCCAGAAAAGATAAATCAGCATGCGTTTGCAAGGTATGTTGGCGGGATATTTCTATTGCGTACGGTGGCCCTAAATCATTGTGTGTAAAAACACGATACGAACTCGAAACTCAACATCGATAGCATGCATCTCAAAAAAAAAAAAAATACGCACGTTATTATTGTTATTTATTTGACTTCAACAAACAAATACAGACAGTAAAACAAAATAATTTTTTTTTTTTTTTTTTTTTTTTTTTTTAAATTATCTTTTGGCCTACAGTACATTATTATTCACAACACGAATGTATGCACATGTAAACCATGTACCTGTACTCGATGTTGGTAAAGCTGGTACATACACTTTTGATAATAGGAGCAGTTGAAAATGACCGTGCGGGTTGATTACTAATTGGGATTTTGAAAAGTTGGCAGCTATGTAAATAGGGAATCATACACAGATAGATATCATAAAGCAGTGATCATTACGATGTTTAATATATTGAATACATTGCGCAGCTGCACAAGGTTTTGTGAAATGATCATTTGTGCATTTCAATCCATAAGTTGGCCATTGTGTTTTTGTGAATTGTCTGTTTTACATTGAACCAGTATGGATATTATGACACAGTAAGTTAAGTATACATGTGTTCACACTTTTTTTACCCATACGTTTTCTACTTGCTTTTATTTTTGCTATCTATTAGCAAACAAACACAGGTACCTGTCGCTACCCAGACTGACCTGGACCTATCTGCCAGTCCTGAAGCCATACCAACCCCTACTACTACCCAACACCCTGCTAAGGTTAGCCAAACTACAAGTACAGCTGTCAATACCACGGTGACTGCATCAGCCTCATCTGCTGCCGCTATAGTTGCTAGGACGACCATTACCACGGTAACGGGAAGCACGCAGACAGTCAGCACAGGCAGTCAGACTGCTGACAGCCAATCTTCACAAACATGTAGTGCCTCATGCTCAACTAGTACAACCACACAGGCAACTGTGAGTATGCCAGGTATTGGGTACTAATGCTGTATCTCATTCAGTCTTGAGCGTACAAGTCCAATCAGTTCCCAAACAGAAAACCCACTTCAAATTGTTATGATAAAGAAAAAAAATAACGACCTGATTTGTGTTATTTAGATAATATCACTGGGGGAATACCAAAATGAACCCCCCCCCCATTTAAAAAAATTATTATGATAAAGAAAAGAACCTATGCTTACATTTGTGTGGTTAGATGTAAATCACAGTTATACAGTTGTAACTGCTGTTTTGGCTTTCTGTGGATTGGCTTTAGGCATCTGGAAGTACCTTATAGTCCATCTAACTCAGATGATTAATTTCTCTTTCCTACTGAGAATATATATGATGTTGCTTGAGGATTTACTACTGATATTTAGTTCACAGTATACAGTGTACAAAATTGATTTGTGCCTTCTTAATAAGGGCCATTCAAAACTTCAACATATATTTTTTGAGATTGCTCTCTCATTTTCGAAAGCATAACGGATAAACCCTATGGTGCTATCAGGCATGCAACTTTTCCTCGGATCAGCTGATTTCCTCTTTTTTCACTTCCCATGTGTGCCATTGAAAATAGAAAAACACTGTACAAAGTCTTGGAAAAATCTGAATTTCCTCTTTTTTGTGACTTCCTAGTTGCATGCCTGTGCTATGAGTGTCGCACACTCTACCCGGTCTCGGGGGATGGGGTAGTCTGAGTATCATCCGTTTTTCAACGGAGCCTGCACCCTAGCTCTGCTTTGCAAGTGACTATTTCGTACACTAGGGATGGGGTTGGGGGGGGGGGAGCACACACAAAGGAGTTGGAACACGGCGTGGTACCAGAGTCGAAAGAGTTTTCTGTCCTTTTTTTCCCTTTTTTTTCCCAATTTGATTTTTAAATTATTGTTCTTGACCCACCCACGAACATTTTTGAAAAAACCCAAAAACAAAATAAAAAAACACTGTTAATTTTGAATGGCCCCTAAATTGAATTCATTGATTACAGATGAATAACCAGATGCAAAGACGAGGACACAAGCGCAGTCTTGCAATTAATCTGTGATTTTACTTTGATTGACTTGTGTGTTCACAGTTGTCTATTATTTCATTCATGATGTCCTACATCTGTTGTAATGATTGGTCATGTTGATATCTATCTTTCAGGAATGTTTGGTGCCACGTCTTAGCTACGCAGCTGTTATAGCAAGGAGAGCAGCTAAGGCTAATGCAGTATCCACCAATGCTACTGTCTCCCAAGCATCTACACCAACTACCACAACTAGCACACTAACCACTAACTCCAACGAGTCCTCCATACCACCAAGACAAGGTCAGCTATCACAAGCCTCAACTGTCTTGCAAACGCAGCAACCACCTTACCCACACACACAGGCACCAAACAAATCATTTCGACCAAGGTACGGCATGCGTGCCAATGATAGGGAAGCGAACTATGAACCGAGTAGCAGGTATAGAAGAGAATATTACACTGGTAGGAGGTCCCCACCACAACCACGACAAATGACTAGCAAGTAAAGTGAGGTGACTGGTCAAGCTGGATGGTGTTTGAAGGGTTGCTATCATGATATCTGTCTATGTCATATCAGCTGACAGAGGGATTGGAGGTGAGATCCGAGTTGGAACTTGAATATAACAAAAAACCTGGGCAGATTTGAAATTGTTGTTACTTTTCCTCAGGGTTATTGCTGTATCATTTTCCTTGAAGCATTGTCCGTTGAATAGAGCAATCCTGGATCAGTAGCCAAGACCATTCATACGGATGAGATTGAACATATCAAATGTGTTCTGGTGTGATGGTTGGCATATTATACCATTATGTACTTGTGTATCAAGTTTTGCATCAGCTGTATGGCAGAGCTAAACAGGGTCATCTGAAATTGATGATTGCAGATTGCAAAAACCAAGTGGTTCTGTGAGTACTACCTCATTGACAGATCAAAGAATATGGGTGTCTATACAATGAAGACATCAAAGTCTTCATTGTGACAGAGTACTAATTAGGTATTACTTGGATACTTGGAACACGGGACACACAAGGTGTATGATAATGTTGCTTCTTTGATTTAGGAGAAATTTAAACAGTGAGTGAAAAGCCCTTTGAAGCTAAAAGATATATGAAGAATGTATGCAACCAAATTGGTGCTCAAGCATGTTGAGGATATTGCCAATGTGAAATATTGGAAGTCTAGAATGTGCTTAGGTCTGCTGTCACTTGACAGTGCATTTAAGACTGAATCATTGTTAATGAAGGGTAGTAGGGTAATGATGGCTTGATGAACTAACTGTGTTTAGTACTCAGAAAGTCAGGTGTTAGTGGGGTCAATTTCTATGTTATGCAGTGATTTATTTCAGTATTGAAAGTGGAAATAATACATGTAGATTGAGATACATGTATGTGAGAGATTACGAGATGGGAGACAGTCCAACTCGGTATTGTTTTCTTAAATTCTTATTAATTATTCTGGTATTTGGGGCATAGAACCTGTTCCATTAATCGTGGAGATGTTGCAATAAGGCTATTGCTGTCCACTCAAAAGATGTTAAGTCTTTGTTGAAGTTTTTGGTAAGCATTTGCAACCACTTATAATGGATGTCTGGAGCAAAAAGATGAAGTAATTTGCTATTCACAATTATTTGAATAATGACCAGTATTGGACACACAGTCTACATTGTACAATGTACTAGTAATGGACATGAGCAATTATTTAAATCATTTGAAATGCATTTTGTTTTGCTGAGTTACTTGCTAATCTAAAGTGCTAGAACACTGGGCATTTGTTGATTCATGTCACGCAATTGTACTATAAACTTATGGATCTCAAACACAATCGGTCTGTGAAAAATGCCCCGTCTAAACAAGAGGGATGTTGATAAGTTGCAAAATACTTTGTACAGTTTGCAGTTGAATGGGTATGCATGGGTATACATGGAGATATATCCATGCTTTGTACATGTGCAACCCCCAGCTCTTTTGGTATAAAATCCTATTGTTAAAAGTGCCCAAAATAGAATACCAAAAAAATGGAAAGTATTCTTGCCCTTTGAGTTTTGTTTGTCATCTCAAACTCATGTCTTGTTCCAATGATAAGTTGTGGGGAAATGAGACTTTGTTGAGTCATCATTGCAGGCGTCTTGCTGATCATGTGACCCCTGATATTGTCTTACATGATGTTCTTTCAGAAATCTTACATTGAATCTCTATCTTGTAGATTTCAAGATCCTTAAATTTCAACTTCAATTATATAACGCACTTGAGTGTGCTTAGGTAAGGGGATTAATTATGTTACATTGTATGTCTCCCATATTCAAATAAGTTGGTTGGAAGTCTTATCTTGGCTTTTATTTTAATTTTAATTTTTGTGGGATATTTAGCAGTTTAAATGTTTGCTAAAGCCATTCTACTTCAAGTCAATGTTATTTGTATATAATTGTTCCTATTTCCTTATAATTCCCTATAAACCAATCTAATCTGATGTTGGATATTTACATACGCTTTGACGAAATTCAGTTATTTACTTTTGCGAAGTGCAGCAAAATGAAACATAGTCTTGTATCAAAGAGAGAAAAAATGATTTTAATATATTTTATGAAAGATTGTGGCATTGTTAAACAGAATCAAGTTGTTACTTTTCACCCTTTGTCACGTATCAGGACGATTCAGAGACCATAGATGAGGAATCAAAAACCTAGTTGTAGAAAAGCAGCTGATAGAATCACTGAAGCAGTTTGGACAATCCAACTAACTTTCATGACAAGTAAATGTACGTGAGCAGGCTGTGTATAGTTGAAGGCTGCAGCACATCGACCAGTTGCATAGACTGATGTTATAGCAGCAGCCGATTGCTCAATGCACAAAACAGCAACTTGAAACAATCTGGTTGAATCAGCCGTATACATGTACAATCAGCTGACATGTATAAGCTATGTAAACAAATACATGGAGTGTATTTACAATGTGAATGTTTTGACCCGGAGTTACTTTCAGGAATGTTGATTCTGTATGTGAAGCGTACAATGACATTGGTCCTTAGTACACTTACATGTGGGCATTTCTACACTAATGGGCCAATTAGATAAGTTTATGGATGTTGCGTATAAAGGGTAAAAGATGAGCTAGTATTTTCTTCAGTTTTTTCCTATATTTTAAGAATAACGGGCATCTTTTCTGTGTGATACGTATGTAACGTGGACAGACACACTGCTAAGAAAAAGGTGCTTAGGACAAATTCAGTTTCTAATAGGCACTTCCAGTGACATTATTAAGCCATTTTACATTGTTATCAAGCAAAAATATAACAGTTTTCACACTGGCTTCAAATTTATGATGTGATTAGGGTTACGTACTAACAGGGACAGACATTTTGTGACAAATGTCCAGTCTGTTCGTATGTATAAATCCTGATTATAAAATATCAAATAAGTCTTCACACTGACTCTGAGTTTTCTAGGTTTTGACTGATAAGCATTCCTCCAGGGTACATCTTCTCAAATAAGTCAATATTAGGGGATCATTAAATTTTATGCTTACTTTGTGACTTTATCTAAAATGTCTGTCCTTCGTTACGTATGTAACACTTTTTAAAACAATATCCACTTACCAGTTACATCATTTGCAGGTGAGGACATTTGTTCGAAGCTTGCAATGTTTACAGCAAAAATTGAGAGACCAAGATCACAGTTTTATCATCAAAACTTAAAGGTCTTCTCAAATGTCACACTTTTGAGCCCATTAGTGTGAAATTGCCCATGTATACATGCAGATTGATGAACATGTAGGAACGACCGAAAGGCTCCAACTACATGCATGTTGGCATTCGGTCTTGGCTCTCTAGACATCTTTTGCAAGTCAAGATGTTCAGCATTCATCAAAGGTTCCTTTAAAGAAGTCACTGTAAGTTGCATGTTCAATAGAATTTGGTTCCTGTAACCCTAACACTGCTGAATCCAATAGAATCCAATATGTCACATACCCGATGGAGACTGTTGGATTGAGCAGTTAACCCCTTGTGTACATTCCTCATGCAAAATGTTGGATTCAGCAGGCAACTGAACCGCATTATATTATAACGCCAAGTTGGACTCAGTTGGATTCAGCAGACAACTGAAAATGAGGCACAGTGGATTGAACAGGAAAGACCGGTTGGACTTTGTTGGATTTAGCAGGGTAGTCCTGAGGAAGAACTAGGGGGTTAGGGGGCAGGTCAGTAACTGTGCATAGTCTGGACCATTGAGACATCCAAACATGATTGTGGCAAGCTGCTTTCAGATTTATTCTGTTAGTCTGAAATAATGTGTGCCATGAGTGACTATGAGGCAATGGTGCTATATCAATCTGTGTACGCAGTCCCCTAGAAGTAACCAAAAATAAAATCAAAAACAATCTTTATTTAGGTTCAAATTCGTTTATAAAACTTTGTCATTCATTTGGCAAATTTGGAAAATAATCCCAAATCTTATTAATTTCTGCAGAAACATACTCATACATTCCATTTCATTCAAGCTCGTCTGAAAGATTTAATGAAAAAAAATTGATAAAAGTTTTTTTTCTTTTTTTATGAAGAAACAAAATTTTATGAAGTATCAACAACATCTAGTGCTCAGAAAAACTTTGGTAAATACATCCAGGTTTGAAGTCAGTATAAGACATGATAGGGCTGTCCCGTACAGCTCAAGTTTGGTTCTTTTTCTTCGACAGTTATTCCATAAAATAATCAAATAACACCCCTTTATTTAATTGTATGATTTGTATTTAAATTCAAGGGAAGAGTGTAATATCCTTGATAATGTTATTTATTGTTTTCAAAGAAACCACAGTTGTGGTGTTCATTAAATTTGCGAAAACCACAGAAGATCATCATTAGAAAAATGCCTAGACGACTTATAATTCTATGTACACTGTACAAGTAATCCCAAAGTGTAAATATTAAGCTTTTGAGCATGGTTTGCATGATGAAATGGAATGGGGCTAGTCTCTGTCTAGGATTGTACTAGGAAGCTGCTTTGTGGGCTACATTATGCATGGCTAGTGTGGTTTGGGTTGAACCTTTAACTAATTGTTTAACATCCACCACAGTTTGATTGACATACTTGAAATTCCACTTCTCTCCACTGCAATTATCTTGTACGGCGCATTGCTCCATTACTTTTTGGCTGTAACTTTGACCTGTTGTAGAATAGCCTGGTCTAGAATGACCAATTTTATGTTCAAATTAGTTGGTTTCTAGGAAAGGTTGCATTGAAATTTGCTAATGTACTAGCTCCAATGAAAAGCGACAATAGATATATAAAGAAGATGTTAACACAAATATCATATTGTTTATATGTTTCCATATTAAGGACTATTCAGAGCTAAATGTATGATATATATTTTTTGAACAGTGATTTGTGAATTTTGTGAATTTATCTTTCCAAGTAAAGCTAACTCTTTCCTGTTACGCATAAAAGGATATGTATTGGTCATCCACAGTTAGTTGCTGGTGTTATAAAGTAGACATAGGCAGTGCACATTGAAGTTAACCTCTCTCTCTCCACAATTTTGTTTTGTTTTAATTTTTAGTGTATTACTTGCCAAACTCACTGCACAACTCACTGGCTGAATGAGAATTCACAAGTAACTGTTAAATAACAACATTTTGTAATAATCCCCATTATGTCCATTTGTGGTCTATGAACCTTTTACACACAAGTATCATATGAATCTCCAATGTGCAGAGTCTAAACATATGTAACACAAGCCAGGTTACCCCAGGTAGTTGAACAAAAGGATTCAGTTATTATCTTGCCTTGTTTTAAATTCTGATTCATAAGGCTTGTTTGAAATGTCCGTTTGGTTTAATTTTCTCATTAATTAACTACATACAAAGGAAGTCTAATTAATGGAAGAAAAGAAAAGGCATTGAGCATTGGATGAGACAACTGAATAGTGGAGATAAGATGATATGTTTGGTGTATTGTACCTTTTGCACTGCTATGGTTTGCATGGCAATTTTGGAGTGCTTGGTTTGTTTTTGTCTTTTTTTTTCAGTTGGACAAAGAATGTCATGGTTGTTGGGATACACAAAAAGAAACTATTAGTTACGGATAAGGTTCAGAAGTTACTTGTGTTGAGGAAAAACACTATGAATGACGATTATAATGACTGTTGTAAGTTGAGTGTGTGTTTGTTGCATGCAACAACAGTGAGAAAATGATTTTAAAGATTATATCTACTCATGGTTTTTAATAGTAATGTGAAAAAAACCAACTATACCTACTGCATCTGCGTAATCAACCACCCATATAATGAGAATGAAACCATGGAGATCTCTGTTAAACTAAGCCACTACTGCTATGGAATGGGTTCATATGGGCAAAGACTGACATGTCATGGCTAGTCCTAAATTGGTTTGCAGACCAAAAGATTCCGACTAGTCTGGCAAATCTTAGGTCAGGTAGCCACTACATTCAAAAATAGAACATAAGGCAGCAAAGTAACTGACCTAAGATTTTTCAGAATATTCAGCATCTTTTGGTCTGGAAATCAGACAAGTTCTGTATTGTTTTCTACATGGAACATTGCCAGCTGTATTTATTTCAAACAATGAGAGCATGTGACTTCCCTATGACTAGTTGTTCAGATGCATTGTTACATTTGTTTTTGCTTTGGCCAGTTTGCTTGCAGTAGAGGTAAGAAGCTCAGAACTGAATCTAGTCAAGCTTTGCTAGTTTTGCTTTTACTTTTATTGTTGTGATGTTAGTGTTAAGAAGAAATGTAACCAAAAAAATAAAGTACCCACTGGGTAAGCCTGCGCTGTGAATACAATTTCAATGGTGCATACTTTTGCCCCTAAAAGCTTCCTGTTCTTAGAAAGTTGTTTGAATCAATTATTTGACCCTAGCCTTTATAGACCTATACAAAGATATTTAGAAAAGTGCTTTTGAGTTAAGTTAGACACGTTTACAAAATATTCCTCAATCCAATGATGGATGTCCTAGAATAGTTGCAACCACAAGGATTTTAGTTCACAAGCTGTTGGATATTGTCAGAGAATGTGTTTGATTACAAACAAAATCACTATGGAAGTGCAAATGTAGTATTGGAGTGAAAGGGATGGTTGAATGTGATTGTAAAAATATAGGAGAATCCATTTAGTCATGCATGACAAAAGGCATGGGCGTGGACATGGACCATCAACTTAACAGTAGGTATAATCCATCATTGGTCAGGTACTTCATCTCATTATGGGTCCTTGTCAATGCAATTGTAACAAGCACCCTACTATTCAGGCCAAGTGGATCTGAATCACTCCCTAATAACCATTCAAGCACGACTAATGAATCCTCATTGGATATTCATTCCAATACATGTACTAGCTTCAAACCTAATAGCCCATCAGTGGCCAAACCTGATATAACAACAAACAATTGATTGGACTGTTAAGCACACAAGGATCAATCGACATTCAAAGATTCTTGTCAAGTGGTCTTGTTTATTATAAATTAAGACGAAATCGTTGAGAAAAAATCATGACAGCAGGCCCTCTTTATTGTAGATTTGTATATTTCAGGTCACTTCAGTCAGTCAACAGTTGGCATCAGCTTTATATTCATAAATCAA